CGTCACTGGGTCCCCTAACCTCACTCGACTGCGCTAACGGCTCCCCAGGAGGACAGGGTGAGTTGGAAACAGACACCCCGCCATGCTGCTGATGACCGAGAGCACGGTTCCCAACCTCGGGATGCTCGGAGGCTAAGACAGAAGACGTGAAGCCTGCTCCCCAGCCACTAGGCAGGTAGGAGACTCTTCCTTCTCTGGGCCTCGGTTCCTCGTCTGTGAAGTGGGTGCAGCTTTACTTGCCTTCACAATACGGCAAGGAAGAAGTAAGGCGGCACGTGAGCCCTTAGCACGTGACCATCTTGGAAACAGCCCTCTGTGAGCATCGGCAGCTGGCCACCCAGAAAGCCTCTTTCTGGAACAGGGAGTCACTGTTCCACCTGGAGAAAGAGCCAGGCAGAAAGCGGGTCCCACTTGCCAGCTCTGGGGATCCACAGGGAAACCTTAAAACCATGTTGCCATTTAGGAAATGTGCTCTTTCGTGTTTGCTCCTCTTCCGTCTGTTTAACTTTTGCAAAAGCACACGATGTGCTCAGCTCACAGCAGATGCCCCCAATTCAAGTTCCTTTACCTGTAGGTCGTAAATCTAGCGAGTGGCCTCCGGATGCAAACAGGTGCTGTGTTCAGAAGGCCTGGTGTTGTGCAAACGGCGGGGAAAGGGATTCAGAAGGAGCAAGATAAAAGTCTAAAGATGGCCAGACCCAGCTCCAGGGGCCACCTGACAGATAAGGCAGACAGGCAGGCATGGCTCACCTGTGCTGAGGTTCTATGGGGTGCGGGCAGGGGACAGTCCCCAACTGGTTGTACAAACAAGGGATCTTGCAAGTGGCTTTGAGCTGCTACCCAGAGCAGCCAGCTGTCCAGATGCTAAAGTCTTGTCCCCTTCCTGTCCTCCCCCTCTCTTCCACCCTCCTCCTTGAGCTAGGCCTGGAATCCTGCCGTGTCAGCAGGACACACAGGACCTCACATCCTGGTCAGGCCAAGTAAGTCCCCAGAATGCTTTCTGACCAAAGAATATGGGCTGCAGGTCAACTCAAGGGACCCAGGGGCAGCTTAGCCAGTCAGAGCCTGGCCTGAGAGGCCAAGGCCCCAGGAGCCGTGGCCTGCAAGCTGGGCTCACCCCACCACCAGGCCACCGGGCCAAGGATGCACCCAGAGCCCTGCGCAGAGATGCAGCGAGACGGCAGCTCAGGGGTGCCTGGGCAGACATTTGGGAACTCAGGAAGAGACAGAGGAGGGGAGCACTCTGTCACTCTGAGGTCAGAGCCCGCTGGCCGAGTCTGCTGCTGTGCCCTGGAGTCCAGAAACCAGAGCGGTGACGGTGGGCAGGGTGGTGACAGCCAATAGGTGGCTGGGAGAGTGGCCTTCTGCTCCAACCTGAAGGAGGTCAGGCAGGAGACTGAGCCTGGCAGCCTCCACTGGTCACTCCCTCCCAGCCAGGTCACTGCCATCTGACATTGGGGCTGCGGGGGACAGAAGAAAAGGGAAGAAATGTTGGTTGGGGTCAGAAACAGAAGATGCCTGGAGTCTTCATAAGCTACCCTTCAGGAGTGGGATGGAGGGCCTTGGGGAGGGCGCAGGGAGCAATATCACAGGAGCCACTAAAACATCCAGAATGCTGCTCTGTCTTCCACAGCCGTGGGCAAGACAACACAGCCTTTGAAACCCTGTGGGAGGCCTTTTGTGAGCACACTTTGGGGATTGCAAGACTGAGGGCCAAATCCTAACTCTGCCAACATCAAAACCTCACATATAGCTGGGCACAGTGGCACACGCCTGTCATCCCAGTGACTCTGGAGGCTGAGGCAGGAGGATCCCAAGTTTGAGGCCAGCCTTACCAACTTAGTGAGACCCTGTCTCCAAATAAAGACTCAAAAGGGCTGGGAATGTCACTCGGAGGTAAAATGCTCAAGGTTCAACCCCTAGTACCAACAAATAAATAGAAAAACCTCTCCTGTTAACCAGGAAGCACGCCCACCTGCAACAGACAAGACTGGTGAGCTCCTGTCTGTCTCAGGTGCCACAGATCCGGGCACACGCCTATTCTTATTAGGAATATCAGATTCATCCTAAATGCTTCCTGAAGCAACATCTTCCATTCCTATGTGAGATGCTGCGGGGTGGGTGGTGGTGGCAGAGGATATAAGGAAACCTAGCCACTCCGCATCATTGAAGGTGCCTGCAGGAGGCATCAGGAGAAGCCAAGCTCTCGGGCTGGAGCCCTCGTACACGGTCCCGCAGATTCTCTCTACCCCAATCTGGCCACATATGTTAGTCTCGGGTGCAGTCAGCAAAGATTTTCTGCAAAGAGCCAGATAATAAATGTTTCCAACTGTATGGGCCACACGACTGCTCAGCTCTCAGTGCACCACAATAGTAGCTGCGGGAAAAATGGACGTGGATGGGCCTGGTTGTGTGCCAATAAAACTTTATTCACAAAACAAGTGGTGGGCCAGAAGTGCGCCCCAGGGCTGTGGTTTCCCAAGCCCCATCTAGGGATTTCAAGCTTCCCTGGTGGCTACAGCAGGGCTGGGACTGAATGAGAAGCAGCTCTACGTTCCTCCACGGCCCCACCAGACCTCATGCTCCCACTGCTGCTAATGAGGTCAGAGTTCGATGGCCCCATGCATGCCCCACTTCACCCTGGCTGCTAACAGTCTACACCTGCTCCGTAAATTTTAGGTCCCTTTCTGCTCCTGCCCCTCCTTCCCTCCCCCGTTTAGCTCCTTACTGGTCCATTCTCAAGAATCGACTTCTAGGGCTGGGGATACAGTTCAGTGGGTAGAGTGCTTGCCTCGCATGCACAAGGCCCTGGGTTCAATCCCCAGCACTGCCAAGAAAAAAATCAACTTCTTCCCCTAAGATGTGAGAGATGCATGGATGAGAAAGATAAATCAGAATGAACCTGGACCTGCAAGCCACGCAGAGCATTTCCTTAGCCTGTGGAAACTGGTTAGGGTTTCAAAAATTATATGAAAAGATTGTTCAGAAAATGGCACCATTGAAAAATCAGATTGTGTCTGATTTCCTCAGCATGATCATGGTTACCACCGACCAGATCACCAACCCCTCGAGTAAGGGCCAGCCCCGCTCCACTCAGGCTGTGATGCCTGACACTCTGCAGAACACAGTGGGGGCCCGTGAATACTGGGGACCCACAGCTGCCCCTCTCTGGGGAGCAGATGTGGTTAACCCCGCCGTGAAGCCCGGAGGCTGCAGATCAATTTGCACACACATCTAAGATCTCATGGCAGGACCAGCCCAACTCCAAATGGCCGGCTGACACGTGCCAGGGCTTGCTCCAGGCCCTTCCACCCCCCGACTGAGCAGGCTCTTTCAACTTCGGGTTAATTATTCCTCTTTGTGGTTCTTCGGTTCTTCGGGAGAAGTGCTCTCCCCCGAGACCACCGGGCATTATTACCGTATGTCACGCTGCTCTCTTGACATAGTTTTTAAAAAGGAGACAGAGGATTTCATGACCTGATTCAGGCCTCCAAAAGAGAGAAGGAAGCCACGGGGAGGAATGCGAGAAACCAACCTGCCTCCCTGCTGTAACCCAGGGCAGGCAGGTGCGGGGAAGCTGGCCAGGAAAGTCCCGGAGCCCCCCTCCTGGTGGAAGTTGATGCACCTGGGCCACTCCAGAGGAAATGATCCCACAGACGGATGGAGTTGGAGATTCTCAACCTGCTGGACAAACCAGAATCCGGTTGGGGTGCAGAGGGGGGCATTCAATGCTCCTATCTTCTCTTCCAAAAGCAGCTATGCTCCTCTCTCCACACCCAGACACACTGACTGGCCCAAGAAAGGGTATTAACTTATTTAACCATTGTAATAGCCCTATGAATGGTGCCCAGCATCCTCCTTCTACAGATGAGGAAAACATCTGAGAGGTTGAGTAACTTGCCTGAGGTCACACAGCTTCTAACAAGTAAAATTGGGACTTTGACCCAGGCAACCAGCTCTGAGCCCTCACTTACCCACTCCATGAACTGCCTCACATCCAGTCTTAGAAGCCAGATCAAGTTTGACCTCTCCACTGAGATGCACTTCTCTGAGTACAAAGAAACTAAGGCCTGGAAGCACCAGGCAGCCCTAAGTCCCATCTTCTTGTTTTGCAGCTGGAGACAGACACCCCGGGGAAGGGGGGAGGGTCTGCGATTTCCAAGATCATGCAACCACCAGTGGAGGGACCCAACAACTCAGGCTCCGAAACTCCTGATACAGTGCTCTTCCCAGCACCTTCCTGAAATACCAGGCGAAATGCACGATTAACACTTTAACACCCAGGAAACCACTGGAGGAGCACAAGGCCCCCCTCGCGGCACGAATGAGCGCTGAACAAGCCGGAAAACACGCATCCTAGTCCTTATGTGAGTCCCAGAGTCGTAAGCAAGGGTCAAGTGTCACTCATGGCCTCCAAGGCTTGAGGAGGCCGCCCCTGCTGTCTTTGTGACCTCAGGCACCTCCTAGCAATATGGCTGGTGTGGGCCAACGCTGCAGCCCAGGTCAACTGTTCCCTCCTGAATTAAACCTGAGCCATTTGGAAAACGAAGCCAGGGGCAAAGGTCAAGGGATGCCCACGGCTGAGCCAAGGGCTGAGCGGGCGACTCCGGGCATCTAATTTACTCTAAATCATGCCCAGGGACAGAGAGAGGCAGGTGGACAGAGACCAGTCCAGGCTGGCACCTGCCCCCCAAAATGGCCACAACAGCCAGCACATCACCGTGTCCCTCCTGAGGCACCTTCCCCCACCCTCCAGCCAGCCAGGGAAAGCACAGGCGAGGACCCTGGCTCATCACGCCCAAGTGGCATTCTGTCTGAGCCGGCCCTAAAACTTCATCATTTAAACTGATAAAGGCCAGGCAGTTGTGTCCCTGCTAGTTAATTCTCACACCCCACATGACATCAGGATGGAGAAGAGATAAATGGGGGGCACTCACAGACCTCCTCTCTAGGAGGACTCTGCTCCCCACTGGCTGGGCACATACCCCAGAGCTTCCTACCTGCTTCCATGAGCTGGCACTGCTGGCCAAAGACGTGGGAGAAGGTGACAGGGCCTGTGGCAGCACTGGATGTCGCCAGCGTGGACTCCATGGCTCTTTTGGGGTCTCTGGTGTTGGTCATGTGGCAGGGTCCAGACCCGCAGAGTATCCTAGCAGAGGACTTCGACCCCCGGTCCCCGGAGGCTGTAGATTTGAGGCTACTTGTCACCTCCAAGAAAACGTCCCCGCCCCCAAAGTTTATAGCGCTCCTTCCTCTGCCCACCCTGTCCCCGCAGTTTCTGCCAAACACCAGTCAAGTGAGGGCTGAGTCCCCGGAGCGCCGCGGCGGGAGTCAGATGTAAGAGACAAATCCAAGTCCCCCCGACGCGGGCGGCTTCCTCGGTGCCTGGGACCCGGGTCTGCCGGCCGCTGGCCGCGGAAGCCGCGCGGCCCCCTCCGAGCCGCTCCGCCCGGCCGCGCAGGCGGGGTCCGGCGCCCGCTGCAGGCAGAGCGCGGCCCGGGCTCCGCCGCGGCTCCTGCCGGGCTCCCGGGGGAGCTGTCCTCGCCGGCGCCGCCCCGCTCCCGGGCTCCCAGGTCCCCGCGCCAGCACCGCGGCCCGAGGCCAGCGCGCCCGGGGCGGCAGCCGCAGCCTGGGGAGAGCGCGAGAGGCGCGCGCAGCTCGGGCGCTCTGCAGCTCGGCTCGGCCGCCCGGTGTCCCCGGCTCATCCTCTGCCCCTCCGAGCCTCTGCCTTCCCGCTCCCCGCGCCGCGTCCGGCAGCGGGGGGCTAGAGGACACAGGTGGAAGCCCCTGCGGCCACCTACTGCAGGGGGCCCCCCAGCCCGCGCCGCCACCCCTTTTCCATGATGCAAAAGGGCTGTTACTTGGAGAGATCCTGGGTGCAGAGGGAAGTGCTAACTCAGCCCAGCAGGCTCCAGGGCGGCTGTAACCTCTTCATGCCCACAGCCAAGAAGTGCCAGGCCCAGGAGACCAGACTGTTGGCAGTGAAACCCAAAGCTCAAGAAGACCGCAGGAGAACGATGCCATAGATCACTCATGGAGCTCGGGTCGTGGAGAGGGGCAGGCACCTCGCCTTGGCCATCCCAGCCCTCTGCGTGCGGGATGATGAGTCTCCAGCTCGTCTAAAGGGAAGGGGCAGAGCCTCTGGAAGGGGGAGGGGAGGATACCTTTCACATGGTGACAACAGCTGCTGCTGTGGGTGCTGTGTCTTTATTTTTCTTTCCCATCTGCTGATCACAAAATCCGCCAACTTGAGAGACGCCGCACATCTCCAGCCAGCGTTTGGGGTGCTGTCTCTGAGGACTGAGCGTTGCATTGCAAGACCCTGTCAATCACCTAGTTAGGCAGCACCACCTGGGCCAGGAGTGAGACCCCCGAGTGGGAGGCTGGGCTAGATCAGCACAGCTGCAGCTACCAAAGCACCCGTGTCCGCTGGCCCGAGGAGAGGCCACTGGCCTCTTTGGTATTGAAGACACAGAAGGTAAAGTTTCAACCAGTTTGTGGGCCAGAAAGTCGCCCAGACCGAAGGCTTTCCCATGAGAACCCTTGGCCAGCCATGATATACGGCTCGGTGACGTTCTGAGGGTTACCTGGGATGGTTACACTAAGCAAGAAGCCACCTTTAGATGAGGCCTGACTTTGCATTCACGGCTTCAATGATGGAGCGTCCGTTCTCTCTAACAGGGATCTAAGATGGTCAAGGATAAGGTCAGGAGAAGCCCTGGCTCTTGCTAACTACCTGCAGAAGCCCCACACAGGAAGGGAAAGCCACTGGCTTCCGGGGCCTGAGTGGCTGGGTGGATTATGATGACCCCAGCAGCTAGCCGTGCCCGTGCTAAAAAAAAAATCCCCTTCAGCCTACAGGTGTATTTTGTTGAGCAGACCATGTTTCTCCCCCCTTCTCTGTACCCCCGTCCATCCTGCCCACTGTGACATGCTGCTTCATGTCTTTAATCCCCTGTAGTTTTGTTCCATTGGTTCCCATAGTGCCTACCCGAGTTGCCACCTGTGGTCGGCTGCTAAAAACAGCCCAGGGATGGTGCCACCTGAAGGTTGGGGTCATCGAGCCATATAGTGTCCACGTCAGGACACGCTGAGAGTGAATGGAGGCTCTAGGAGCGATCGCATCAGGAGGAATGGCACAAACCAGGAGGGGTGACTCTGTGTCAGGATCTCCCTGGCTACAGACCAGGAGTGGAGGAGAGTGCGCATGATGGATGCAGATCTGAACTCATCAAATGCTTCCAGGTAGTCCCCCAGCACGGCTCTGCGGTCTCTCCGCCCACCACGACCGCCGGCGCTCCCGGCCTGCTGGGCGAGGTACTGGTACCGCACCTGGTTCCAGTCCTCGCTCCTTCCCACATCATTACCAATGACTGTTGGAAGCTGAGGAATCTGGTAGGTGTAGTTCCTTACAGTTCGTTGCTTGATTGGCCTTAATTACTAGGAAACTGAACACTTCTTGAAGAGCCTGTTAACTCTAGAAGTTTCTTCTTTGGGAGAGTCTCTGTTGGAAGGCGCGGCCCACTTTCCCAGTCATCTTCCTGTTTTCTGGTTTGTGGATTCACAGCAGTTCCTCGACTCGGCTAGACGTTGACCACTTCCCCATGTAGGTGTTGCCAGGCCTCCTCCTAGCTGGGCACAACTGATAACTCTGCCCGTGGGCCTTTCTTTGACTGGAATGTGGTCAGATCCACTGGCCTTCTCAATTCCAGGATGACCTGGGAATCTTGCTTAAGTTACAAAGTCACCTCCTTTGAAGTTCGACCTTCATACTCAGGCCCTGAGTTTATGTGGAACCACACTATGTCTGGTATTTTATGTGGGGGTACTTACCCGGCCGCAGTATCTGAACCACTTTTCCCCAAACCATCTTTACCCCGTGGAGTGGGCTGAATGAGTGGCCCACGGGGGACAGCTTTGGATGTTGAACTCCTAACCCCCAATATGATGCTCTTGGGGGGTGGGGTCACTGGATCTTGAGGGTGGAGCCTTTGTAAAGGGGACCCCAGAGATCTCTCTTGCTGTCTTTCCACCATGGGAAGGCACAGTAAGAAATCGGCAGTCTGCAGCCCACGAGAGGGACCTCACTAGAACCAGACCTTGTGGGCACCCTGATCTGACTTGCAGCTTCTAGAACCATGAGGGATAACTTACTGTTGCTTCAGCCACCCAGCCTAGGGTAATTTGTTATAGCAGCGCACACTGAGCAAGGCACCCTGCCCTCCCTTTCCCCACTGCAGCAGCATTATCATCTTGTCGGTTTCCATACACCAGGGTCTGTTCTTGAGGGCTGTCTTGTTTGCGGATTCCCCACGCTGTGCTGCCACTGGTAATGCTTTAAGGTTACTGGCCACATTTCAAAATGTCTGGACTTGAAATTTTTCAAGGCACGTTGCATTTGATAGCACTGAGCCTGCACGGCTCATGCTACAATCCACTGCAGAAGCAGATCCGCCTTCTACAGGTGCACGCTGAGCATGGCTCCCAGCCTGGTCTGCAGCACTCACCATAGGAGCCTGCTGCTCGCGGAGACGAGTTCAGGTACTGGATACTTCTCCCGAGATAAAGGTTAAGCGAAGACCCCATTAGAGAAGTCATTAACTTACCCGTGGGACTCGTCACCTCTGTGCTAGTAAGATCATTCATTCACTGTCCCTGTGATGCCCAACTTACCCTGGCCGTGGAGGGTGGAACAGGGGCGTGGCTGAGAGTGGCCAAGGGGAGGGGCGAGGAGACCACAGGAGAAGCAAGGCCTCCTCTGCCTGCGCTCAATGTCACAATTAACCAACCACAAATGGAAAAGCACGGCCAGCCTCTGCAGCACGGAGCCTGGAGGGTCTTGCATTCCAACACAGGCTCTGGCCGAGTCTCCAGGGCAAGCGTGAAGTGAGGGAGATTAGAGCCGAGTCCAGGAAGGAAAGTGGGTCCCCAAGGTGCAGGAAGATGAGGGGGTGCGGGAGGGGATTGGGGCCCAAGCAGGGCATTTGGGTGAGGCTGGTTTAAACGCCGTTATACGTGAAGTGTTTTAAAATCTGCTTGGGAATCTTAGATTAGAAAGGATATAAATTTGCTCTGCCTCCAATCAATAGTCATATCCATATTTTTAAGTTCCCCCTGGTACCTTGTCAGCCCTGCAGACTTTCAGTGGACCTGACTGCTGCAGTCTGGCTGGGCACAAATCTCGAGCCACTCAAGTAGGAACAAACTTTATTTCCGAACTTCCCAAGGCCTCCCACGCGGCCCTTCCAGGCACACCACCCCCAACCGGAACACCCTCCCCCGAACTTCACCAACCAACTCGAACTTTCCAGAAATCCGCTGGAGAACTCCAAAGTAGCAGGCACCCGAGGCGGACAGCAGGGGTCTATATACAATTGAATCAATCCAGCATCATCTTAATGGCTCGCCTCTCAACCATTACTTCTGGCAAAATGCCAGGCGTCAACACCTGACCCAAAACCCTCCCTTGACTTTTCTCAGACCTGCATTCCCCCAGGAGTGAAGAGCCCACTCCACAAGTTAGGTAGGTTCCAACACATCCCCTCCCAAAGGCCGAGTACCAGAGCAAGGGTCAGGCAAAGGGAAGGAGGGTAGAGAAACGTGTGTTAGGATGCTTTGTTTTTCATAGCAAAAGGTCACTGTGTTCGTCTGTTTTCTATTGCTAATAAGAGAATACCAGATGGAGCATGTTTTATAGAATTTTGTTGTGGCTCACAGTTCTGGAGGTCAAGGTCAAGGGGCTGAATCTGGTGATGGTCTTCTAAGCTAGAACTGCAGGGTGGTGCAGGGCATCACATGCACCCGACAGACAGCCGCTACAGGCATCTCCTCTGCTGCTCTCCCCCCTGTACAAGGTCACTGGTATTCAATCCTGGGGCTCCATCCTGATGATCCTATCTAATCCTGTCTCCCAAAGGCCTCCCCTAAATGCCATAGTCAGATTGAGTTTCTACCCTCTTAATGGAGGTTAAACTCCAACATGAGTTTTGAGGGGAAATCATATCCAGCCACCAAGTGGAGGCTGCCACATGCCACTGGAACACCACTGACTACCTCATTCACGCTCGCTCACTCACTCTCCACCCCCTTGA